TAAACAGTTTTAATGTGGTGGTAACGCTTTGTATGTTGTTTTTTTTTTTAAATACAGCATTATTCTTCATTAATGAACAATTTACATGTCTGTTTCCAAACACAAGTGAATTCATCTTAAGAGGCAAAAAACCGAATGAATATTTTCAGCACTTTCTCCTTCGGGAACATCTCCTGTTTACATCTTAGTTGCTTCCCAGGACATGCATTAGGTCTATCCCTCTGGCACATGTTTAAACATAGATTCAGCCAGAAGCAGAGGTGGGCCTGTGTTTAATCTCCTACTACAGTTCAAGTCAGAACTACACCTTGCTTTTACTCTAAATATTTGCATTATTGTCCTTGGATGTTTTCCCATTGTGCACAACAAATCTCTCCTCTTTAAAAGAATTGGTTGATCAGTAAGAGAAATCATACTCTGGAGTGCACTTAGAGGGAAGAAAAACCACATGTTTAATGAGGTAAAACAAATACCTGTTTCTCTACCTTTTAATACAACAAATAAAAACACCCACTAATGTATTTACAACTCTCATTTTACAGGCCAACATGTTTTCATAGAGAAGTATTTAACTATATTGTGGACGAGATAGGAGAAATTGATTTCTGCTTCTGGACCAGCCACTTTCTAGGCCTGCAAGATGACACAGTGAACATGATACACAGAATTTTTGCTCTCAGAGTTTAAATCCCAGTAGGGAGAAGCAGGCAATAAAAATGTAGGCAAATGATGAGGATTTAAGGAACAAGGAGGTGCGATAGTTAGCAAAGAACTTAAGTGAAGCATCTTTTTTTTTCCTTTTCTTTTTTGAGACAGGGTCTTGCTGTGTCGCCCAGGTTGGAGTACAGTGGTGTGATTATAGTTCACTGCCGCTGTGTAGCCTTGAACGCCTGGGCTTAAGCAGTCCTCCCACCTCAGTCTCCTGAGTACATAGGACTACATGCCCAGCTAATTTTTTAAAAGTTTTTTTTTTGTAGACACAAAGTCTTGCTATGTTGCCCAAGCTGGTCTCGAACTCCTGGGCTCAAGTGATCCTCCCACCTTATCCTCCTAAAGTGCTGGGATTACAGGCATGAGCCACTGAGCTTGGCCCCATTTGCAAATTTCATTTCTAGAAACTGGCTGATATGTGAAAATAGATGAAAAGGGGTTTGGACTAGGCTGCTGTTCATGGAGATGGAGGGAAATGGATAGAATTCAGAGAAATGTGGGAGGAAGGTGGAATGGAAAGAACTTAATAATGGACTGGGTAAGGGAGAGAATGGTATGGTGGATGATCCCTAAGTCTCTGATTTGATTGAGCAAAAGGTTGGAGGGGATGCTGTTAATTGAGATCATAAAGAGCGAAAGAGGAGCACTTAGTAGGGAGGCGGGAGAGAATCAAAGATCAGTTTTGCATATGGTACATTTGAGATGCCTGCAAAATAGCCAAGGAAAAGAAAAATCTCGAATGTATTTACAAAATGAGTCCAGAAAAGAGGTCAGGGCTGAGTTATAGCTGTGGGAGTCACTGGCACCTGGGTGGTATCTGAAGCTGTGGGAGTGGATGAGATCACACAGGGGTGAGGATAGACTGAAGGAGAAAAACTTGGTCTAGGACTAGCTCTGAGATACACCAGACTTTTAAGGGATCTGGTAGAGCATGTGGAACTGACAAAGGAGCCTGAACAGGAATGACTAACAGCAGTTAATTTGCAAGAAAAAGAAACATACTTCATGAGCACAGACCACACATCCCTGGCCAGAGACTCTCAGCCACAAGCCCCAGTTGGCTCAAAAAAGCTTTCTCTAATGCTGGAAAATAAATCTACTCATGCATGTCTTCTTGGTGGAGGGGGAGAAAGAGCTTCAGATGGTGGAGGGGGACAAAGAGCTTCAACCTCATTTAAAAAGACGACTTTACTGGAATAACCCAAAGAATAAAAGGAAAGTGTGACACAGCTGCTGTTTCTGGAAGGGGGTTTGAAGTTCCTCTAGGACAAATATGAAAGCCTCAGAGATCAACTTCTCTATCTTGATTCATACTTGATTACCAGTAAACGGGGAATGATCTTGCTTAGTTGGCAGTAGATTTGCCTTTTACACACTGTCTTGCAGGAAGTTGAAGTGCTGTGTCATAGAGTTTTTGTTTTCCATGTTTGAAGTTAAATGGAATATTGAGATTTAATCAGAAAAGTAGCTGAGAAGAGGTGTAAACGTGAAAGTCCAGCCTTGGATAAAGGAGAAATCTTATGAATATCTCTCCCTCTGGTTTCAATATTTCACAACATAAAGTATGTCCAACTGATAGACTTGTAGTAAATCCCAGGTAAGATATTTGTAGACTGTGCCATGTTCTAAAACATTAAAAACACAATAACATTTCACCTTTATATGAAATATATTACTGATATCCTACTTATTTGCTGTGTAGCTGAAAATGGTTGGGTATCCCTATATAAATCAAGTTTATTGATTTTTTTCAAGGTCTATATCAGGAGTTCTGAGATGAAATATGGTCCCTGGTTTTAATGTGGTACTGTTAGCGACGTGGGTGCCATTTCTTTTGACATAAATTCTTTAGTGTGAATTAATCTTTATACTCTTTTGCAAATAATTGAAGAATAGAAATAGAAACAGACTTCTGCTTAAATGATAAAAACATAAAACATTAAATGATGGAAACTTCTACATAGAGTTGGCTGTTTCTCACACATTTTCACTTTCCTTCTCTTTTTCAAAATATATTTTAGTTCTTCTGCAGTTTCAGTTCATGTTTCAGAAGTGTAAATTTCGACATTTGTGAGGGGACCCTTTCTCAATCAGTGAAGACATTCTTCCAGTGGATGGCACTGTGGATGGCGCTGTGTATTTCTAATTGATGTTCGGGTCATAAGGAACCATTTTGCAGCTACCTCTACTATATACCACGAACTACTTTGGTCCAAATTTCAAATCTGATTTGGTTCTTCTTCTCCTCAATTTTACTGAATTTTAATTTAATTTTTTTCTGAGACAGGGTCTCACTCTGTTGCCCAGCCTGGAGTGTAGTGGTACAGTCAAGGCTCACTGCAGCCTCAACTTCCCAGGCTCAGATGATTCTCCCACCTCCACCTCCCTAGTAACTGGACTACAGGTGCACGCCACCACACCTGGCTAATTTTTTTTTTTTTTTTTGTATTTTTTTGTTGCGATGGGGTTTCACTATGTTGCTGAGGCTGGTGTCAAACTCCTGGGCTCAAGCAATCCTCTCACTACCTTGGTCTACCAAAGTCCTGGGATTGCAGGTGTGAACCACCACACCCCACCTTTCCCCAATTTTAAATCCAACATGGCAGTTCTGGATTAAGGGGGTCACTCTTCTTATATGTCCTCCCAGTCTGGATTTTGAAGCAGCTGCCTTTTTGCTTCCTAATGATGCTAGCCCATCCAAACTAGAAATAATCTTATATAATCATTGATGCCTTGACTCATTTGTATGTATCTGTATTTTTAAACTTTGTAATCTTTCATTACCAAATGATTGCTTTCCGACACCCAGGCCTAGGCTTAAACACCAGCATATATGGAGAGAACAGTTGCCACTCGACTCAGAGATGGAGTAGACACCCAAGAACTGCAGTTCTTAAGCCTTAGGAGAAGCAGGAGAAAGCACAGTTGTAGAGGAGTAGTTTAAAGATTGCCACATGGGCCAGGTGCAGTGGCTCATGCCTGTAATCCCAGCACTTTGGGAGGCCGAGGTGGGCAGATCACCTGAGGTCAGGAGTTAGAGACCAGCCTGGCCAACATGGTGAAATCCCGTCTCTACTGAAAATACAAAATTAGTCGGGCATGGTGGAGGGCGCCTGTAATTCCAGCTACTCTGGAGACCGAGGTGTGAGAATCACTTGAACCGGGGAGGTGGAGATTGCAGTGAGCCAAGATCATGCCATTGCACTCCAGCCTGGGCAAAAAGAGCGAAACTCCATCTCAAAAAAAAAAAAAAAGATTGCTACCTGCATGGAGTGGGGAAAATTGTGGTAGAAAGAAGTAAACTTGGTTTGGAGAATAAACATTTATTGAGCATTTTCACTTGACCAGCTCTAAGCTAGGAAGATTACATATAGTGTCTCTTTAATATTTAATATGTACAGCCATTATTATGTTTATTGTAAACATCTGTCAGAAGTTATAATTCCAAAAGTAAACTCTAAGCAACAGCTTTTTCAAAGTATATTTTTCATGTAGCACATTTCATGAGCTCATGAAAAAGGTCATTTCTCCAAAATGTATAAAAATGTAAAGCAAACAATGGCCATTCATCAGAAATAGCAAGTGACAATGAGCTCTCCAAGGAGCACTTCTTTCCAACACTCGACTTTTGGAGGTTGAAATTCAAGGTACTTAGGACAGCCAAATTGGTAGGCACTGGCCAATGTCTTGGGAAATTTGACTTTTTGCAACTGGATTATAAAACAAGGCTCTCCTTTTGATTTGCTTAATCTGCCATTTTACTCAGTATTATGGCTTTGCCATTTGTTCTTCTTCCATTTAAATGAATTTCTTTTAAATCGCTTCTGGTTGCTGTTGCCCAGATGACAGGTGTAGAGCTGATTTTGTATTTTTTGTTTGTTTTGAGACAGAGTCTTGCTGTGTCACCCAGGCTGAAGTGCAGTAGAGCAATCTCAGCTCACTGCAACCTCCACCTCCTGGGTTCAAGCAATTCTTCTGCCTCAGCCTCCTGAGTAGCTGGGATTATAGGCTCCTGCCACCATGCCCATGTTGGCCAGGCTGGTCTCAAACTCCTGATCTCGAGTGGTCCGCCTACCTCGGCCTCCCAAAGTGTTGGGATTACAGGCATGAGCTACTCCACCCAGCCAAAACTTCTTTTCTGAACAGAGACTAATGTCAGTAGATGGAAGACAAACCACAAATGGTGGGAAAATGAGGAAAAAAAGTGCTCCCTAATACCTGTTTTTAGTTCGCTTCGCTTGCTGATATCTACACATTGTTAATTCTTTTCCTCTCTCTTATTTTTTTAGTGGCCACAGATGTCTTTAATTCCAAAAACCTGGCCGTTCAGGCACAAAAGAAGATCTTGGGTAAAATGGTGTCCAAATCCATCGCCACCACCTTAATAGATGACACGAGTAGTGAGGTGCTGGATGAGCTCTACAGAGTGACCAGGGAGTACACCCAAAACAAGAAGGAGGCAGAGAAGATCATCAAGAACCTTATCAAGACGGTCATCAAGCTGGCCATTCTTTACAGGAATAATCAGTTTAATCAAGATGAGCTAGCACTGATGGAGAAATTTAAGAAGAAAGTTCATCAACTTGCTATGACCGTGGTCAGTTTCCACCAGGTGGATTATACCTTTGACCGGAATGTGTTATCCAGGCTGTTAAATGAATGCAGAGAGATGCTGCACCAAATCATTCAGCGTCACCTCACTGCCAAGTCACATGGACGGGTTAATAATGTCTTTGATCATTTTTCAGATTGTGACTTCTTGGCTGCCTTGTATAATCCTTTTGGGAATTTTAAACCCCACTTACAAAAACTATGTGATGGTATCAACAAAATGTTGGATGAAGAGAACATATGAGCGCATGAGTTAAGATTGTGACTGATCGTGATTGATTTGAAGATGGAGCACTGCTGATTTATGAAGGAAAAAAGAAGAATTTTCTAAAGATTACACATATTTCGGAAAGACTTTGCCCAATTCAGTTGTCAGACATAATGATTTATTTGAAGGCTTGTTTTATTTGAAGAAAAGCATATTGCCAAAAATTCTGGTTAAAAGCTTCCAAACGGGTAACAGACCATGGGAGAGATATGTGGTTGGGTAATGCAAATGTAGTTACACAAAGAAAAATACAGATAGCTCCAGACCTGAGGACTTTTTTATAGGGCAATTGTTGTGTTGGTGGCACATTGGATATTTCTAACATGTACAAAGCTATGTATTTTGATTTACTTTCATTCTTGCTATGTATACGTACTTTTCTTAAAATGCCAAGAACTTTCTCTTGCTATCATTGCTCCTTTTGAAACAATTCAATTTTCATGTCTACAGCTTACAGCTGACTGTTTTGTTAAAGATTGAGTCATTGACATTCAAGATTTAAGTCTGAGGTAGTCAATCCTCAACAAAAAACAAACAAACAAAAAAATGGCTTATCTGAAATCAGTACTGTGGAAATGAAGTATATGATCTATTATGAATAATGTCCAATATAAGAATATGCTTCTGGAATTGAGTTCTACTTTTAAGTACCAGTGGTATTTAAATTTTTCAGAAATGTAATGGTGTGTCATTGCCTTGAAGTGCTTGCTTAGGGCTTCTTTTATGTTATCTTAAAATGTGCTGGTGAATTTTTCATTTTTTACATCCATATCATATGTAAGAGACAGAAAAATCTAGATTGGTCTTGATACTGAGATAATAAAAAAGTAGCATTAAGAAAGATGACAATCTTCATTTTACAGATGAACTCATTGAAACAATTTAGGGGAATGAGGGGCAAAAGGGGAGAAATGATGTTGCTAAAGAACATGAGCACAAAAAGGAATGCATTTCAGTGTTTAAGAAGGTTTGATAAAGAATGTCACTTTTTTATTTAACTGATAAGGTTTTTGTTATTTTTTACTTTGATGAGTAAACCAAAAAATATTTGCATTTCAAGCAGTTTGTGTGGTGTTTCTATATAATTTTCTGTGTGTAAATAATAAAGTAGGCATTTGCTTATTTTGTAAAAAAGAAATGAAAATCTGCTGGCCAGCTATGTCCTCTAGGAAATGACAGACCCAACCAGCAGCAATAAATATTTCCATTGTCACTGTGTCTATGATTTTTTTTTTTTTTTTTTTGAGTCTCGCTCTGTCGTCTGGGCTAGAGTGTAGTGGCACAATTTTGGCTCACCGCAACCTCTGCCTCCCAGGTTCAAGCGATTCTCCTGCCTCTGCCTCCTAAGTAGCTGGGATTACAGGCATGCACCACCACACCCGGCTAATTTTTGTATTATTAGTCGAGATGGGGTTTCACCATGTTGCCCAGGCTGGTCTTGGACTCCTGACCTCAAGTGATCTGCCTGCCTCGGCCTCCCAAAGTGTTGGGATTACAGGTGCGAGCCACTCTGTCTATGATTTAGTGTACTCTCTTGTCTTAAATTTGCCTGCCTTCTAGAGTATTGATGTTAAAATAATAGTTTACTGGAAAGGTTCCACAACGAAAAATTCCAAAGTTGAGATCTGCTCTAACCCATTTCAGCCTACAGGGGGTGGTCAGTTTCTCTGACACCCTCATTTGTTTGGCTAAGACAAGCAGCAAAGGTGTAGAGTTTCTTCCTGTTTGATATTAAATCCTGACACTAAGATTTGAACTGAAAGTATCATTCTCACTTCCTAGAGCCAGTAGGTGATCAGTGTATATTGTAACATTAACGCAGTGACCACAGAAATGACCCTTCCAGCTTCATAACTTGCTAAGTGGCTTATAAATGGAATTCAGTAGCGTTCCTTGATTAGCTGTTTTCCTCACATGTGAAGGCTGAGAATGTGATGGGGGGTGTCAGCTACTGACTGGAGATCTTTTCTCCAGATCTCACTCAGCAGAGGTATGGGAAATGAAGGGCCTGAGCAGCCGATGGATGCTTCTTGCTCATCTCTAGCTATAGACAGGACCAACCAGAGAGAGAAAACGTACGGAGGGAGAAATCTGGATCTATCTGGACACACTGGATCATAGGGTTGTGCCAGCAAGCTAGCAATCAAATGTGCATGGCATGCGGGGAGCAATGCTTCATCTCCCACAGAGGGAAGGCAGTGAGGAGTAGATCGAAGAAGGGAAATCTGTTTGCTACCATTTCTCAGCATTTTCGGGAGGGGACCCATCTCCTTACCAGTCCTGTGCCTGAAAAGCATGCCTTGGAAGGATCAGGTCCAAAGTCGTGATTAGCAAGTTCATTTCTAATACAATAGGACTCCCCTTGAGCATTTAGGGTGGCAAGGAGTGTGGGAGCTGGGAAGAATCTCCATGTGCTTAGGGTAGATAAATCTGCGCCAAGTTTATATTAATTTGGGGAGTCCTATGAACCTTTTTATAAAATGGTATCTCTTCATATTTTGAAAAAAAATTGGGTTGTAATTGATTTTATTTTGTGCTGATGGTTTCTCTGCAAAAATTATGAGTGGATATGATAAGTGGATGAAAATACTAATGGACAGCTAACAGTTTGTATTATGTGCCAGGCACATTAACTCATTTAATTCCTGCCATAATCTTCACCATTTTATAGATAAGGAAATTAAGGGAAGAGAAGTTAAGGAATTTCCCGAGGTCACATGTGCCTGAGGTGTCCCAGCCGGAATATGTATAAAACCTTATTTTCACTTAAAGATAAGACTAAAGGCAATGCTAGGAACATCCTTGGCTCAGAGAAGCGTGGGTAGTATGCTACTGAAATGGTTCCTCATATAGTGACATTTTAGGCAGTACCTAAGTCGGCACAGGTCTGGCCTGTTCTCTAAAGATCTGCGTAGATTTTGTACAAAGACATTTTTCCAAGTTTTCAACATGACTCCCACCTTGGGGGCATCTTGTGCCTCAGCTTTGTGTCTCTTGTGGAACTTCACTTCCAGGTCCTCACAGTGACTTTGAACATTGACTTCTGAGGTGCAGTGAGCTCCTCCCCCATAGCAGTCCCTAGTGGTGGTGGGTTCAGAGGACGACAAGGCACTCGATGTGCATTCACCAAGACAAGGAAGCAGCAGTTCAGTACTGTGCTCCCCAGAGTTGGCACGGCATCCGTTTCAAACTTCAACATTATTTTCCAGATTTGGAGGTTCAAAATATTTGAGCAGGTAAGTTAAAAAATAGTCTTTTTCTGATTATTAGGCCTTTCATGTACAACTCAAAATTAGTTTAAGACTAAAGCATGGGGTGGGTGCAGTGGCTCACACCTGTAAGCCCAGAACTTTGGGAGGCCGAGGTGGGAGGATCACTTGAGGTGAGGAGTTCGAGACCAGCCTGGCCAATGTGGTGAAACCCCATTGCTACTAAAAATACACAAAATTAGCCAGATGTGGTAGCGGGCACCTGTAATCCCAGCTACTTGGACAGGAGAATTGCTGGAACCTGGGAGGCAGAGGTTGCAGTGAGCCGAGATTGCACCACTGCAGTCCAGCCTGGTCAACAAGCAAAACTCTGCCTGAGATATCCTGAAACTAACAGTATAAATACATCTCCACAATAAAAATTGCAAAAGCCTAAAAAAAAAAAAAAAAGTAAAGCCTGAGTTAGGAACTTCAATTGTACAGAAATAGTGCTTTTTTAACTCTTATATAACAGTGTCCCATTCACAATTACCTGGAAAGTTCTTTTTCTCCCACCATGTAAATAAACACAGACACACACAATTTTTAAGCCCCCAAAGGCTTAAAATAGTACTTTTTGTGGTCTGTACCAGTCAGTTGGATTTTTACTAAGAGTTTTAATTTATCCTTGAGATACTTGATCAGCATATATAAGCAGTTGCAGTTTAGCATACAAAACCTGACAAATGGTAAATAAAAGAATATGTTTATCCAAATGATGAAATATTTGTAGTAAAAAGTGCTATTCAATTGCTAGGAACTTAAAATACTCCAATAAAATGAATTTAATTAGCATGTTAATAGAAATGATAATATTTAAAAGTGTTAGTCAATCTTGCACTTCCACACTTGCATTATCTTGCACTTCCACACTTGCATTATAGTTGAACTTTTCAGTGTTTTACTTGATATATTGCATTCTTGAGCATTGGACTTCTAGGTGATTTGTTAAACTCATAGCAGGTTTTAGTACGCAGTGCTGTTTATGACAGATAAAATTTTATCCTACCTCTGAAATAATTGTACTTTCTGTGATTCAGATAAAGACTTTATAGAAACTCCCTAATGAAAATATTGAAGCATTAACCAGAAAATGAGTCAACTTTTTGTTTCCAAAATGATACAACAGGAAAATCTTTACTTATAATCCCATATAATCACCATCACCACAAAGTCTTGAAAATCTGTTTTCTCTTTTACTAAGCGTCCTCACGGTCACTTATGTACACCCAAAGCCAGAAAGATATTTTTATCTCAGGGAAATTCCAGAAATGGAAACATATTTGTGTAATATTGATTCATTTCTGTCTCACCAAAGATGTGTTTTCCACGTAGCAAAGAACATCAGCCTCACGTTATAGGGAACAAGTCAGTCCCAAATCATACCATCTGCTGAGCACTGAGAAAGGATATGGACAAGTCAGCCAGCATTCACAATTAAGAGAAAACATCTGTGCTTTGGAAAATGTTCTTCAGGGATAGAGGATTGTGCTCTACGTCCACCATATCTCCATGAGATCTTTCTAAGATTAGACAGCCAGTGGATAAGGGCCCCCTTATCTTTCTTCATGGGTGGCAGAGGAAATTCTCTACCTTCATCAGCTGCATAACTGTATTTCTCCCTCATGGAAACAAAGTAGCTGATCAGGCACTTGGGGTTTGTTCTTAAGAAAGACAATTTAAGTATGTTTTGATTTGTAAAATGATGTAAGACAATATGCTTCTTTCTACTTTGATTTTTCCATTCAAAAGCTTACAGATGAATTCATTCATTTAAAACTGCCAGGCCGAGTGCAGTGGCTCACGCCTGTAATCCCAGCACTTTGGGAGGCTGAGGCGGGTGGAGCATCTGAGGTCAGGAGTTCAAGACCAGCCTGACCAACATGGTGAAACCGCATCTCTACTAAAAGTACAAAATTAGCCAGGTGTAGTGGCACATGCCTGTAATCCCAGCTACTTGGGAGGCTGAGGCAGGAGAATCGCTTGAACCTGGGAGACAGAGGTTGCAGGGAGCCAAGATGGCACCATTGCACTCCAGCCTGGGCAACAAGAGTGAGACTTCATCTCAAAAAAAAAAAAAAAGAAACTCCGTCTCAAAATAAATAAATAAATAAATTTTTAAAAACCTTCCTGATGTGAAGTTGAAACACAAGGCATGGAAATCAAAACCCAGAGTATAAATATCTATATTGTTACCATTATCTGGGATAATTGATGATTTATAAGAAGCTCAGGTTTCATCTTCCTAGAAATGGACTTTTATTAGGCCAGCAAGAGTAACCACTCAGCCATTTAAATGACTTGTCAGCATCTTTTGCTGCTCTCTTTGAAGACCACTGGTTTTCACTAAAGGATAAATACCCGCTAAGCAAATTATAAAATATTCTAAGACATTTAATCTCCTGGAAGAGGACTTGCTGATAATTAGATCAAAGTTCCAGCATTATTGCTGTTTTCGAATCGTATGGATTTGGTGTTCTCATGACTGAGGAGGCACATTTTTAGCTTGCTAAAATACTCACTGGAGAACATAGTGAAATCCACGAGTGGAAACGTTCCATGGTATTTTCAAACGCCATGTGTCAGGAATTTGGCATGCCTTCCTCCGGGAGAGGCACTGGAGTGTGGCCAGGTGGAAGCCAGCAGGGTACAGAGGGCATTTGTGGGAGCAGTCAGGAAACCAGGACATCCAGCTTCTGCCTGCCAGGGAGCTCGCTCACGTTGTCTCTGAAATTTGCATAAAAGCAATTACCTCGTATTCTCATTTTAAAGATAAAAATTTTCAAAAACATGGAAGGCTCTGAGGCCTCCTGAATGCTATTCCTATGTGAGGTATTGTTTACTGGTGGCCTTTCACTGTTTCCAAATCAGCAACAAAAAGAAGCCTGAGTCTAAAATAAATGAAGCAGCAGACTTCAGCAGCCCGAGAGAATTTTGTTCAATTCCAGTTTCCTTAAGAAAAATA